AGAGTAACTAAGAACAGAGTAGGGAGGAAGAGCATGAGAAGATGATTAACATTAAACAGGGATGAGAGGTGGGAGGGAAAGGGAGAGAGAAGGGAAATTGCTTGGAAATGGAAGGAGACCCTCAGGGTTATACAAAATTACATACAAGAGGAAGTGAGGGGAAAGGGAAAAAAAAACAAGGGGGAGAAATGAATTACAGTAGATGGGGTAGAGAGAAAAGAGGGGAGGCAAGGGGATGGAAGGGGGGATAGTAGAGGATAGGAAAGGCAGCAGAATACAAGAGACACTAGTATGGCAATATGTAAATCAGTGGATGTGTAACCGATGTGGTTCTGCAATCTGTATAAGGGGTAAAAATGGAAGTTCATAACCCACTTGAATCAAAATGTGAAATATGATATATCAAGAACTATGTAATGTTTTGAACAACCAACAATAAAAATTTTAAAAAAATAAATAAAATAAAATAAAAAATACTTTAATGTAGAATCTACTAGTAAAAAATAAAACAATTTATTTAGAACTTAAAAAAATGTCTTAGATGGAAAATAGGGTTCAAATAACATGCCAACCTTGATTTACCATCAGCAACTGCTGTATTTAGGAGGATTCTGAGGTCAAGCAAGAGAGAAATGCCAAAATCATCAATATATTCACTCAAACATCTATCAGTCATCAATTATGATCGATAGACAGTGTTCTAGGCTCTGAGAAATGCAAAGTCTGCCATGGGTATCAAGGAAAGAGGACAACCTGGGTGCCATCTCTCTGCCATTTCTGAAATTCTAGCTATCTCCTATCAGAATAAAGACAGGCTTGAAGGGAATATAAAACTCCCTGCTCCTCCTCCTCCTTTTTTTTTTTTTAACCATTTCCTAATTAGTGCCATTTGGAATTTACAAGACCATTTCACAATTCAATCCTGCTTAGTATGCTAGAAAAGTCACTAACTATGCAAATTGTTCTTATACCTTATTTTCTTTTTTTATATTGGTTGTTCAAAACATTATAAAGCTCTTGACATATCATATTTCATACATTAGATTCAAGTTGGTTATGAACTCCCAATTTTACCCCAAATACAGATTGCAGAATCACATTGGTTACACATCCACATTTTTACATAATGCCCTATTTTCAAGACGCGTCTTTTCATATTTTAACATTTTGAAATCATAATGCTTCTGTGCAACAGAGTCTTAGAATTTCCCTAGGGCTGGACTGAATGTTCTTCCAGGAAGGACTTACATTGACTTCTGTCAATAACCTGGAGGTACTATCAACTCTGTACTGCCAAGGTTTTCTGCTTGAGATGATTTGAACTATACTTTTGGTGGTAATTTCAACTGTGACCTTCATGAATATTAGCTAGTGATACAGATTCTCAGGGAAGATTTTTCCGCCTCCCTTTCCAGGGCCAAGGGGCATATAACTTTCCACATGGGTGGGTTTATACTTTTATAGCTATTTAATGAAGGGATATCCTTTCATCTTCTCAATTTATATGGGCCTATCTTGGGTTGGCGTTTTCTGTATTGGTGGTACATAAAACAATGTATTTTGAAAAAAAAAAATTTGCCTCAGATTTATTGAAACTACAGTACAAATTCACATTGACTAACTCCTATAAACTCTCAAATATAGTCCTTACTATTTGATCTCAACTTCATTCTCTAAACTTGAAGCAACCGAAATTTTGTACAATTACTAAGACATCTGGTATCAATTCATCTTTCCTGTAGATTAACTTCTGCTGCTTTCCCAAGAAAGGATTTATTCCTCCTCCTTTCTAAACCAAACTTATTTGCTGTGTTCTCGTGAGACAAATGTTTCACATTTCTATGTTTTCTCCACTCTTACTCTCTCTTCTTCCCATAAATACAGTTATCTCTCCAAACAGAACACTTCTCTTGACCCTACTACCTAAAAACTACTGTCCTATCTTCTTCACCAGACAGTGGAAGTTCCATTCTTTCAGTAGGCCAGTTTAAAACACCAAGTTATTCACCAGGATTCTCTTCCTCTCCTCAAACCCAAACTGTCAACTCTTCATCAAATCCTGTGACACCATCAGTTGTCTTTACTTCTGTTGCTACAAATCTAGTCAAAGTCATCATCTCTTATCTGGACGACTGTAGTAACTACTATTGGTTTTGATCTCTCCTGTCTACAGTTCATTTTCAACACAATAACCAAAGTGATCATTTTAAAATATGTCAGACCATTTTCCTCTGCTCAAACCCTTCAATTGTTCTCCATCTCAGTAAAACCCAAAGTTCTTTTTAGGTCCAATAAGGCCAAAACAATCTGGCCACTGCCTTTCTCACTCAGCTCTAGCTCTCTGGTCTTGGTGCTGATCCACAAAAATACCAATTGTATTCTTGCCTCACACCTACCACTTCTCCTACCTGGAGTGTTCCTTTCCACGCTGACCACATGGTTCCTTCCCTCCCCTTTTCTAAATCTGTTTAAGTATCATTTTTATGGTCAACCACTCAAATTTTATGTACTTCAGCTCTCTCTACCATGCTTATAAAATTTTTTCTGTGCAGCATTTTCCACCTCCTACTATTACAGGTAACTTTTTTTTAAGTATTTTTTTTAAATTGTAGGTGGACACAGTACCTTTATTTTATTTTTATGTGGTGCTGAGGATCAAATCCAGTGCTTCATGCATGCTAGGTGAGTGCTCTACCTCTGAGCCACCAACCCCAGCCCCAGGTAATTTTCTTTTTATGATTCCATTACCACCACCTAACTTGCCCTACACAAAGACAGTGTTTGTGTTTGGTTCACTGCTATCTTCCTAGCACTTAGAACAATGTCTGGCACACTGTAAGATTTCATAAAAACCTAATGGTTATTTGAGATAGAAAATCTTTAATAATCTCTTAAAATATGCCTTCTGATCCTACAAGTCAGCTGACTCAGCTCTCAAATTTTGAATTTCCACAGGTAATGACACTTCTCTTAACTCACTTTGACATTTTCTTGAAACTGCATTGCAGAGAGCTCTGAAATACTTGAATTGCTGTGTTTGAGAGCACGAGGACTGTCCTCTGCATGTCTCTTTCCCAATATACAAATAGCTGGCTCAAATACCCCACTTATCAAGGACATTCATTACACCTGAGGCAGACCAAACTTCACTCTCTCAAATTAAAAAGTCCTTAATATTGGGTTAAAAATCTATCTTCTAACTTCTACCCAGAAATCCTTTGCAGTTAGTCAGTACAAGTTTGTTTTTTTTTTAAAAAAAGATTCTCAGATAAACCAGGAAGTTCCTTTTTCCTCCTGTCTTCTTTGATTCAAAAATATCTCTAGTTTCTTCAACCATAACTCTTAAAACACTTTAAATTTCTTTCCTTGGGATTGGGGATACAGCTCAGTGGTAGAAAACTTGCCTAGCATGCACAAGCCCTTGGGTTCAATCTCCAACACCATACACAAAATATTGCATTTCAGTTATTATCCTTCAGATGAATTCTAGCTTATTAATGTCCCTGTTTAAAGAGGGTGCCTAGAAGTCTTGTCTGAGATTCTAATAAAATAGAATTCTCTCTTGTTCTTAGAAATCACTCTTCCAATAGTTTAAGCACAGATGGCAAAAACTTACTGGCCTCTTCTCATCTCAAGGATGACTTGGGAAAAAGTCATTTTAGACCTTTAAGCTTTTTAAATGTGGGCAGCAGTTAAGCCACATTTTCTCCATTCTTTGTGTAAAAACTTTTATGCATTTTAATTTTTTAAAAATTATTCTCCATCATTTTAGTCTCCCATGGCCTCTGGCATAAAGTCTAAACTTCCTTTGCACAGAAGTTAAGGTCTTGTATAATTAAGTCCCGACCAGCACTTCAATCCTCCTCATCTCCTGCTACCCCAGTTCCCATTCACGTGGCTCTCAGTCACACTAGGATAATCATAATCCAAACAACCCTGACCTTTCCCACCTCCTTCAAATTGCTTATACAAAATTTTCTTTACTTGAGAAGACCTCGGTCCTTGTGTCCATCTCTTGAAATCTTAGATCTTAGAGCTACAAAGGACCTCACAGCTATAGAACCACAACTATTCTTTAACATCTAGTTTCAATGCCACCCCTTACAACTAAGGCATTCTTTCCCATCCCACTCTGCACACACACTCCTTGCAAAACACACCCTGAAAAATCAGCCTCCATTGTTCATAGGACCAACTTATTTATGGCACACTATGAATAAGGATAAAAGCTTATTTTATCCCTTTTTTAAGTGTAGTGTAGTTTTTGTCAAGCTTTCTCTTTCTACCAGATTATAAATGCATAGAACTGTCATCTACCTTTGTATACTCTACAAAACATCATGCAATTTTAAAAATGAATTTAGGTCACTTATGAAAATGAGATACATGCAAAGAATTGATTTCTAAAGTTTAAAGACATCCTTATCCATATAGAGGAACAAGACAGGTAGGGAAAATAAAATTGAAATATACTGCCACTTATATATCATAAACTATGTTCTATTTTCTAGGTGATACTTAAAATACTACTATGATTAAAGAAATAGGCATGCCGGGATTAATCACTAAGTTTGCATAGCAATCTCACACCAGATGATTTTAATATTCGATGTTTGAACTCATCAGTTCAGGCAAGTTTTAGTCTTAACACTATTTGGGGTGACGATTTATATTAATGACTCTAAAATGCCAATTAGTAGATATTTGCCAACCAGAAAACATCAGATGAAATATATACTTCTAATATAATCAGATAAATAATTGGAGGTGCTAGACAAACTTGCCAAAATATAATCATTTAAATTAGTGAATTGTGACATTATGTACAACCACAAGAGGTTCCCAATTAGAATAAGATATACTCCATGTTTGTATAAATATATCAAAATATACTATACTGCCATGTATATCTAAAAAGAATAAAAACCTAAAAAGAATAAAATTGTCTTATTTTGTGTGAGGAGGAAAACCCAAGAATCTTTCATACTTAAGATACATACCTATTATGAGAATAGTTGTTTTCTTTGGAATAGGGGTATTGAATCTCCCCACTCTCTCCAAATAATACTATTCCCTGAGGTTTACAATCTTTAAGAAAATGTAAAAGAAGTGGATTATTTTCTGGACAACATTTCAAAAGTGTATAGATCTCATCCTGAAGCTATACAATTTATATTAGTTACATTTAGGAAAACATGTCCTTAATGGATATAATCTAGACATCATATTATAAACAGTATTTAATAAAATTTTTGAATCATATGTTCTTTAACAGAGTTCTTCAGATTCAAAACTTACACAATTTTCTCAAATCATGAGTCACACTGAGGCTGTCAAATTTATATTATATGAGACTAATATGGTTTTCACCTCTCTCTTCTAGAATGTCCTAGGTATCTCTTCTAGAATGTTCCAGGTAACAGTAAAGTAACACTGTACAAATACATGCAGCTTTTAGTAATGGCATTTACTCAAAATTCATTTACTCAAAATTGAGATGCAAATGTCAGGTTTTAACTGTTGGAAGCACTCTGTATAAAACCATTGAGGCATTTAAAGTTTAGAAATGGAAGTAAAATTCAATTATAAATATGATATGATTGCATTTGCTTTCTTCTAATGATTTCCCCCAATTCCACTTCCTATCTAGATAATTAGAACTATGCACGCCCTCTTGTCTCTGTCTTCTATCCACACCTTGGACAGAATTCAGGCCCTTTTTTACACACCTTGGACTCACTTCTGAAAGGGATTGGCCCCAGTCCAAATATATAGAGGGTAAAAGAATACCTTTATTAACAACAATTATTTCAGTGAAAATTGTGATAATGTGACTTTAAAAAATTACACATTATGGTTTCTACTTAAAACCAATGTAGAGGAGAACTTTGCTCAGAGTCAGTGGCCTATTATGTCTTTTAAGAAGATTGAAGGACAACATGGAAGCAGAAATCAACTTGATCTGATGGTTTGTAAATATGAAAGATTCAATTAATTTGATTTTTAAGATTGTAGAAGCCTAAATTTAATCCTATTTCTAAAATAGTCAGTTACGTGAGGTGGTTCTGAGAAGAGCTTGAACAAAATAGGCAATTAGAACATAAAGGAGATGAAAAACCTAGAAAGACGATCTTAAAAACGTGTTACTTAAATAAATTACTTATCACATTCTGATGTTCATTAGTGAAATTAACTGTTATTGCCCAATTTCATTGCCCTTTAAAATTCTATTGCTGTTACGAATTCTTTGTTCAGCGGTTGTTAACCTTTTTAGCTTTCTCTTCCAGGCGGTCAAAGTGGAACAATCACTACCAGGAGGGACTTGACCCTGCGGTAGGGCAGTGGACAGTGTGCAAGACACTAAAGGCAGATGAAGTGAGCGGGGAGTCCTCCCAGGCTGAGGGAGTGCTGGCCTGAAGCTGGGCCAACAAACAGCAGCACTTCAAGTCTTCAACTAGGTGGCTAACCTTGGACAGCAACAAAGGAGGGACAGACAGATGGAGGGAATGTGAGGTTTTGCTGCTTTGAATCTTGGGCCTTAAACATTTGCTTCCTTTACTAAACTGTGTTCCAGGAAGTTGTGCTCTGCAGTGCCTTGTACCATTTTCTGTGAACCTTCTGGCCTCTGAGACTCTGAGACCCTCTCCTCCTCAGCACACTTACAGCTTCACCTTTCATCCAGGTCTATCTGCACTTCACCTTTCATCACAATATTTTTTCCTTCCCAAGTAGTTAGAAAGTTCCTAGAGGACAGGTTTTGCTCTCCAGACCCGAATTTTCCTAGTCTAGATTTTAGTGTCACTGAACAAAATAAACTCTCCAAAGTATTCCTCATTTCCCCCAGTTTTCCAAGGAAAATTAACAAGGCTGAATGGGAGAAGGGGGAGAGAAGGAATCCATTTTTCGTGTTTTTAAGTGTTGTAGAGGAAATGTTTCAAATGAATCAAAGAAGAAAGAATCTGCTGAGTCTATTCTCAAGGGCTGTCTTTAAAATCTCAAATGCAAAAAGATAGCTCATAAAAATTTTATACAGGGATTCAGTTTAAGTTAAACTGATAGCTATCAATACTCAAGAATTCTGAGACAAAATATTACAGACATTGGACTAAGAATTTAAAATCAGTCATTCTTGCTTTGTACTAAAGCTTTTCTCTGATAATATCACAACATATCAAAGTAACTACTCTTGAGATAAACATGGTCAGTTTTTGACTTGGAATGAAAGGAGGAAGAAAATTCACTCACCTGTGATCATGGTTTGAGTGATAAAATCCATCAACTCAAACACCTTGGAAAAAATGCCAGGTAATGCCCTTGTGTGGTAATTTTTTGGAGAAGCCGAACCTCTTTCACAACCAGCTACCCAGGAAGTTATCCCAGCCAGAGTCCAGATTCCACCAGGTCTTCTACAAGCCAGTGGGCCTCCAGTGTCTCCCTTGTGTAGGAAAGAAAGAAAAACTGAAAATATTTACAAGTTAAATTATCATGTCAGTTCCACGAACATTGGCACTCATCTCAAAGAGGTAGAAGCCCAGAAGTCCACCCGTCACTCACTGTCCATCAACATTTTGATTTTGATCATCCATTTCCTCATTGTTAATTTCATCTTCTCACCCAGATTTAATATCCTTTCACTGACTGGCTGCAATCTTGTCAAGCCAGTACTCAATTTCTCTCTCTCTCTCTCTCTCTCTCTCTCTCTCTCTCTCTCTCTCTCTCTCTCTCTCTCTAAGAGCTACCACATACATTCCAAAAATGAGTAAAAGGAGGAGGCGGGGGCAATGTGGTTACAGTTGTATGCTTCTACTGTGCCTTGTCACCTAGAGCAGATGGGAAAGGGTAAATCCTCTTCCAAGCCCACAACATCAGTGAACAGAGCCCTGAGGGACTTTAAGAACAAAAAGCCTGGGAAGCTCAAATTTGTCCCAGGTATATAAGTAAAAGACCACAATGGCTTCCATGCTAGAGAGTAAAGAACCCAAGATTTCAGGAGTCTGTCTTCAATAACATTTCAGTACATGTTTCTTTGAGTACATGTCTCGGACAATCTTGTGTCAGATTAAACTCTCCTCAAAAGGTACAGGATTGTTAGAGTGCTTCACAGAAAAGAAAAAAAAAGGACTTCCTTCCTCTAGCAGTTACAGAAGGGACAGAGTACCTTCAGTCTACTTGTGATCCAGTTTAGAAAGTGGCACAACTATAAGTTTCTCGCTTCCTCTCTCCCAAACACCTGTCATACCCTTGAAAAAAAAATTCAAATTTCTTTAATGGTAAACTCCAGGGAGCTTCCCACAAGAGTTTCAGGTTGCTTTCTGAAAAAGAATAATGACTCTGATGTTCTACCTTTAAAATAAATAAATAAATAAATAAATAAATAAATAGGGAAGATAATGTACTTGGAAGACATATTTAAAACTTGACTCATGTTTTTTACAAATCAGTCCCTTTCCTCTCTAGGCACCTCAGAGATTGTGAGGTTATCATTTGTGAAGTTGTTGTTAGTCTTGGAAAGTGGCTCTCATGACATCTATTCAACCCAGTTACTAAAACTATTCATCTTTTTTCAAACATATTTTGCACTAAAGGAAAAAAATATTATAGTGTTTAATGAAATGTGAAATAAAAAATAATTCCCAGCTGGATTTATTAAAGATTATTATTTTGATTCCATTAGATTGGAAAAACTGAAAATAACCCCTGCCCCAGCTCACTGTGTAGAAATGGGCACAGGAAAGAATTCTCTCAGTTCAGACCAAGCACATTTTTCAATAGAAGCCAGATGGAAAGATGAGGGGAAAAGGAACTTTGAAGTAGTAACTCCCCAAAGCAGTCATGGGGAAAGGCAGAAACCACTTTCACCCACTTTACTAAATAACTAGCTGGTTTATACTTTGGTACCTGGCAGGCATCCTTTCCCTGCTCAGGAAAACTGGCACACAGCAGGGTCCTTCCCAGAGGAGGAAGGTTCATACTCTTCAGCACAGAATTACACATTCTGTCATCCATGATGGAAAGTTCCCCTTCTTGTAAGATATTTGAATACTCAGAATCTATAGAGAGAAAACTGACAGATTAGTCGACAACTGTCCCCTTTAAAGCAAATTAGTGAGTAGCCCTCATATTTAAAACTATCTCAAATAGATTTTAAGCCAATGTAGAAGATGCATTTTTTTGTTGTTTGTTTTTGGTGTGAATTACGTTTCAAGGTCAGATATGTGATAATGGACATCATTAAGAAATTCAGATTTCAGGTTACAGGCAATTGGCTTTTCTTAACATATGCTTAAATGTTTCCCCAAGAGGAAAACTAGAGTCAATAAGGCAATGTTTCATAAAAGTCTGTTTTAAAAAATCATAATTTTAAGCTGTATTGACATACAATTGACAAATAAGTATTATTCATATTCAAAGTATATAATGTGATGTTTTGATAAATGTATAATTGTGAGATGACATCCACAAACATGATAGCACAACTATCTTTTTTCTTATAGTGAAAATACCTAAGTTTTGTTCTCCTAGCAAATTTCAAATGTACAATAATTATTGACTATAGGCACCATATCATGTGCATTAGGTCTCCATAACTTATCATATAATTGTACTCTTTGCCCAATATTTCCCCATTTCTACCATCTCCCAAGCCTCTGGAAGTGACCCTTTTGCTGTTCTTTCAGCTGCACTTTATAGAAGGTCATGATATTAAAAACAAGGAAGCTGGGGCTGGGATTGTGACTCAGTGGCAGTGGCACATGCCTAGCATGTGCGAGGCACTGGGTTCGATTCTCAGCACTGCATGTAAATGAATAAAACAAAGGTCTATTGACAACTAAAAAAATTTAAAAATTTATAAAAACAAAAATAAAAAAATAAAAATACAAATAAAATCAAGGAAACTTACTGATTCTATTTCCTGATTACTCTTTTATCATATTCTTCTAAAAAAATTTTTTTGGTAGTTGTAGATGGACAGAATGCCTTTTTAAAAATTTTGTTTCTTTTTTCTTTTTAAATGTGGTATTAAGGATCGAATCAGTGCTTCACACATGCTAGGCAAGCTCAACCACTGAGCCACAGCCCCATTCCTACTATATTCTTCTTTATATTCTTCATACCTCCAGCTTCCTTTATCTGATGTACCTAAGCAAAATGACAGCAGCAGGAGTGATAGGAATAGGTTTTTTCCTAAGTGTGAGATGTCTATGGTGAAGACTACTAGAACTCTTCACTGGGTCAGAAATTAGGCAGGAAAACAAAAGGATGAATCATTCATGGTCAACAAAAATCACTTCTGCTTTCCCTGTGTATACAGAGACCTGGAGAAAGTAGTATGCATTTTTTGATGCCTCTTACTCTCTGTAATCTTGCCCCATCCACTGGCCATGCAAAGAATTCCTGCTTCAAATCGATCATCTCTGTGTGGAAGACAGATTGGCTGAACAGCAATTCCTGAAACAACAGAAATCACGAGGTTTGTGAATAGACAAATGACACCAACTATATTTGGAAAAGTAACATGTGCTTGATTTCATATTTTTATAAATGTCACTGTTTCCTAAATGTCACTTCATAATTATAAGAGAAGAAAATGCAGAAAAAGTAAATCAAGGAAAAAAATCTAACTCACTGTTCTGCATAACCATCATGAGCCCCGCCCCCTCAAACTACTAAAATTTCAAGTGTATACTCTCAATTCTGAAATGATATTTTCATTTAATAGTTATTGAGCACTAACATGTGGCAAGCACTCTTCCAAACTTCAATGAATGAATAGGAAAATCCTCTCCCCAACCCCTTGTGGAGTTTATACGAGGGAGGGAGGGAGGGAGGGAGAGATGGAGAGAGAGAGAGAGAGAGAGAGAGAGAGAGAGAGAGAGAGAGAGAGAGAGAGAGAGAGAGAAATGGGTGGGGGGAGGTACAAACAAACTATTTTAAGTGTCTGGGGAAACTCAGTAGGTGAAGGAAGAAATTTGGGGAGGACGACATGGGGGCTATAGTTTTATGAATTGTGGGCATGGCAAGTCTCATGGCGCTGGTGACATTTGAGAAAAGTCTTGAAGTTGAGGGAAGGAATCATTCAGTTCTCTGGGCAGAAAGCATTTGCTGAAGACAGTGTAGAAAGTCTCTTTTGTGAGATCTTGGCACACCTATTTGGGGAAGAATGGAGAAGCCAGGATGGCTGGAGCATATTGAGCAAAAGGAACTTTAACAGAAGATGAACACAATTAGGCTGGGGGAAAGGAGATATTATTGGGGAACCACTGAAGTGTTTTGAGCAGAGTGACATAATCTGATTTACATGTTTAAAAGAATTATTCCAGCTGCTGGGTTAATAATAAATATTAGGGAAGCAAAGGAATAAACCTGATACTTTAAGAGATTTTAAAAATTAACCCTGGCAAGAAATGATCACACAGCCTGGGTAAGATAGTTGAGTGAAGTGAAGAAGGCAGAAGCAACAGGATTTTGGGTGCATTAGAAAAAAAAATGAGGGATGAAAGAAGAATCAAAGACAAGTCCAAAATTTTTAGCTTAAACAACGAAAAGATGGAGTTGTCACTAACCAAGATGAAAGTACCTGTGGGAAGAGTCTATGTGAGGGGATAATTAGGGTTGCTTTAAACATATTGAGATGTGGATTAGCTGTCTAGGTAGATGACCCTAACCAGTTGGTTATATACATCTCATCAATTCTAGAAGGATAATGCAATATAAAAAACCTAGATTATAATTATTCTACATTAGCATACATTATATATTCCATTTTATATTATATATTATATATTATTATACATTTTATATATATATATGTGTGTGTGTGTGTGTGTGTGTGTGTGTGTGTGTTTGTATATATATATATATCTCCATGAATCCAGGAACTAGGGGTTTAAAGCTATGATCCTGGAAAAGATCACCAAGAGAATGAGGACAGACTGAGAAGAAATCCAGAGCTGAACCCTGGGGACTGCAACAATGTAAGACAAAGAGATGAGGAATCATCACATAAGACTATGAAAGGGTATAAAGGGGTGGAGGAAAACCCAGCAATTCCTCGAATATAAGGTAAGAAGATATTTCTAGTATGAGCAGCACTGATAAAAACTCTTATCAAGAAAGACAAGAATTTAGAGCGAATCTTCTAAGCTCTCAGGTAGAGATTATGGTGACAACGACAGGGGTGAAGCTGGTGGAGTGAGTCTGAGGGACTTGAACTGGCATATTTAACCTAGATGACTCTTGATAGTTTTCTATAAGAAGTGGGGTGATAATTTCCCTTGATAGATCATTCTAGCTTGATGACACCAGCTTGATGACCTTGGTCTCTATCTTCTGACTTTCATCACTCCTGTTGAGAGGTCAGCTGCAGCCTAATTGTCTCCCCTTTTTATCCCTTATTTCCCCCTCTAGATTCTTTTGAGATTCACTCTATTTTAGTGTCCTACATTTTCAGCATGACAAATCTAGATATAAAATTATTTTTAGTATCATGGTTGGACTTACTGTGCTTTATAAAACCTAAAGATACATGTCTAAGTTATGATTAACTCGCAGCCACTTTCTATTAAATTATATCCTCTCTTCTCCATAATTATTCAGTGCCAGGGATTGAACCCAGGAGTTGTTAGGGCCTAAGATGCCAAGACTGGCCTTTATCTTGAAATCCTTCTTCCTCAGCCTCCCAAGCCACTGGGATTTACAAGTGAACACCACTGTGCCCAGAATAAGGATTTGCCTCCTTTTTAAAACATTTTTTTTTTCGTACTGGGGATTGAACCCAGGGGTGTTTTTCCACTGAGTACATCCTCTGCCCTTTTTAAAATTTATTTTTATTTTATACAGGATCTTCATAAGTTGCTTAAGTCCTCACTAAATTTCTGAGGCTGGCCTCAAACTTGTTAATCTCCTGCTTCAGCCTCTTGAGTCACTTACATTATAGGTGTGTTCCACCACATCTGATTTATTCATGCTCTTTATAAAGCTCAAATTGGATATTTACTGTATCTTTCAGTTCATCTTCTCTGTGCCTAAGTTTATTTTGGATAACCATTTCAGAACTTATAGTTCCCTATATCTAATTTGATTGGGTAGACAATACTTCTATTGAGTTTTTAATTTCAATATATTATTTTATACTTCTTTATTGGTTCCTTTCAAATCCATCTTTCCACCTAATTGTTTTTTGTTCTTCATAATTTTGATATACTTTTGCCTCTTTAAGTAAAACATGCTTGTTTTGAATGCTCCACCTCATTTTGACATCTGTAATTTTTGAAGGTCTGATTCTGGTGGTTAGTTTTTCTAACTTCATCTTTGGCTGATTTCTCTCATGTTTGTGTGTTTGTATTCATTAAAACTTTATACTGAAGCTAGAATTTGAGGCTCATGTTTTCAGAGAGAATTTACTGTTGCTTCTGCCAGAAAACCCCATAACTCACCTGGAACCATTTTAAACTAAAATCTTGGCTTGGAGGGCCTGAGCTACACAGGTAATGTCAATTCCAACCCTGAAGCTGAATAAGGGTTGGTTCATGATTGTAGATTCCTAGAACTCTATGTTTAGGGCCAAGGTTCAAACAAGTAAGATTCCACTTTCTGTGGCATTTTTCTCTCAATCCACCAAAGCATCACCTTTCAGAATGTCCAAGGTTCTTTGCAGCTACTTTCATGGCCAGGTAAACCCCTAGGATCTTAAAGATCAATTAGATGCCTAAGAACAGAAGCTTGCTTCAATGACTGGCTACTCCTCTAGATTTGTGCTCATTCATTTTGGCCACAACACTGCCTTTTCTTGCATTAAAAATAGCAAGGGTTTTAGTATTTTATTCAGAAGGTTTAATACTTGTGCTAATAGTGTGTTACATATTTAGTACCAAAAGTACCAAAATCCTTGGTTAGAACTGATGTCGAGTACAGCTTATTCAAAGATACTGCAGTACTTAGAATGCTACTGAGAAGCTGAGCATATATATCTTATGGCTGGGATTCAGATTGTACAGTAGTTAATTTTTTCATAGGCACTAGACTGAATAAAACTTTTAAAAGAGAACAAAGCTTACTTCTATTACTATTCTATTACTAGACATATATAAAAAAAATTGAACTTGTACTTAAGTTTTCCCCATTGAATTTTTGATAGTTAAAAACCTTTAAATACTTACCAAACTTGACTTTGTGTTTTAGATATAGCAGTGCAATATCAAAACTCATATATCCAAGCCTGTTGAATTCAGGGTGAATAACAATTTTTAAGACTGGAATATTCTGCTCTTGCTTTTCTTTCTGAAGTAGGTTGTATTCCCCAGCTGTCACAGTTAGATTCTTCAGTTGCTTCCTAAAACCAGAGAAAAATGTTTCAAAAATTATTTCCCCCTGGGTTTCATATGATTAAATGAAAAGGGATTATTAAGACTTTAAGCATTTCTGAGTCTTGAAAGAAGGCATTCCTTTATTATTGGTTACTACTGTCATATATTCCTAATTTTTGGATCTATTAAACGTGTTTTTCAGTCATGGAGTGTTTGCATTCTTGTGAACACTTTCATTTACTGTCATCAATTCTGATTATTTAAAAGTTTTCTACTTTTCTTCATTTGTAGACAAGCCAGTCTATACATGCTGCACTGTTTTTAATGAGATATCAAAGTGGCTTCCCAGCACTGCCCCTTTTCCTATTTGTATCTTCTTTTAACCAACTATTTATTATTTCTGCAGTAGTTTTCACTCCTAATGATTTAAACCCAGGTTATCGAAACTTTGGAACATCCATTTAACATTTGATGTTAACAATTAACCACCACCCTTAGCCAACCACTAAATCCACAAATCTAAATCATAGATGTTTGAGATCTTTGAGGGTATCTCTGTGTAGCAGAGCAGAAAGCACAGGACATCTTGAAGCAGAGACAAGTTTCTAGGAATCGGGACCATCAGAGGTTGGGTGGAAATGTGGCAGAGCGAAGAAGGGGACTGAGGTGTATCAACCTTACATGATACATGAACATCTCATTTCCCAGTACTGTAGCCATGAATCAGGGTTTGACAAGTATCAGAAATCACAACTTACCCATCAAGACTACTCAGGCAGTGTGCTGCCATGACAACCCTATCATCTTCAATCAAACTTCCTCCACAGATGTGGCGCTCACCCAATTTTAGGGAGACCTGCCCAAGGAGAAAGTTAGGAACATAATATATATCTCCCCATTGATGCCATCTCCTTTTGAAACATTTGAAATTAATTCTTCTAATCTGATGTGATATTCTTAAAATACTAATCTAAATTGGGTAGTAGGATATACATTCCCAGGAAGTAAACTTATTGGTGGAGAAGTAGAAAGGTGTCAGGAGAAAAACAACACACTCACCTGGGGTCTTGATACTTGAAACAAAAGAAATATTTTACCATTTTCTCATTAAAAAACAACAACAAAAAACAATGTCTTTGTTATTCTGACCTGCCAGGGTTGTCCACCAACTGTTGAATTTTTCCAACTAATTCTGGAGAAGAACCTAGATTCCACAGTAGGCTCCTCACTCTTCCAACCAGCTGCACGAATTCCACACTTGAGTCCTGTGTACAAGGACATAGACACATATTCTGGACTCACCCAGAGTGCCTTGTTTAAGGGTTCCCTTTCTCAAAATTGCATGGCCAGATTTTCCTGCCCTGGCTATCATTCCCATAGCACTCAGCTGCAGGCATTCCCTTTCTCAGTTATGTTCCCGAGAATATGACACAGCCATCTCTGCTCCACTAGGTCTTGCCTCAGGACTTCTCTGCTTGCCCTTTCAGCCCAAACTCCTTTACAGGAGGAGGCAGGTCAGGAAAGAGCCTGCTTTGCTTTTGGTGAATGGCTGGTGCTCACTCTGGGAGGATGCGCACATCATAGATGCAGGTTTTATTAAAGTTGCTGGGGAACAACATAGGCCACTCCTGAAGAGAGAAACAGGGCTTTCCGGTACTCCCACCTGATTGTGTTTCCTTGGAGGAGGAGACTCCGTAGCACAAATGTGGTTAGCAGAACTCTAGAATCCAAAGCATTTCAAAGAGGAAAACTGCCCCAGGCCTGCCTTTGGGAATATCTGGGCCTTCCCTTACCCGCTTTCTTCCCAGGAATGACCACAACACTGGGAAATACTAGAGAAAGGAGTGGTGAAGTGGTCCCCACCCAGCATTCTTGGCCCTGGTGTCTGCATCCAGGGGTCCTGCTCACCCAGGCTTTGGCAGAGGCCAATGGCAAGTAACAGCAGCAAACCAGCCCTGGCCAGCGTCCCCATGCTTGCTGGGGATCTCATGCATTCTCCTCTCAGGCTGGGAAAACAGAGGGAGGAATGTGTGCTCTGCTGCTCTTTATTCCCAACCATCCCACCAATGGGCTGCACCTGCCACGGTCCCTGGCCTTGCAGGTGTTCTTTGTGATCATTCCATCCTGAGCTGCTGCCACTCTCTGGCCACTCAGTTTCTGTGCATCTCCCACACCCCCCTGGTCCTAGAGATAGGCATGAGGTGTCTAGGTTTTTCATCTCCTTTATGTTCTAATTGCCTATTTTGTTCAAGCTCTTCTCAGAACCACCTCACGTAACTATTTTTTTCACAAATATTGTTTGATGATAAGCCTGAAGTTGGGAGGATAAAGCCAGAATTTGTATTGGACTTATATTTTATGAGAAAATTAGGGCAAGACTAAGTGGACATTATGCATCAACTAGCCTGGACATCTACCCCCACACTCAGTTGTCTCACTTCCATATAAAACAGAAATAAAAGTTCCCTCAGATAGTGGGTAAACAAGGTGAGGGAGATAGGCAGCAGACTGGAAAACAGAAGACTGTCAAGATAGTGACAGTGCAGATGCAGGTACATGAGCAGGTGACAGTTACCCAGTGGGGGCAATGACCCCTGTAACTGCAGAAAACAACTTTTGGTAAAAGGCCTGAAAAAATGTGACTAGCTCCCAAAATTGAATTTAAAGTTCAAACTTCCTTGTCCCATGAACCAAAAAGGGATTTCTGTGATTTTTATCTTCCAAGTACCATATCAAATTTTGAAAAGCTCCAGGGCTGTACTGTCCATTATTGTGGACTTTAGCCATCTGTGGCTATTTAATTACAGTTAAATCAGATTAAAGATTGAGTGCTGCATTTCAAATGCTCAATAGCCACCTGTAGATGGTGGTTACCTATAGAACAATGAGATATCATTCCCATCATCATAGAAGGGTTCATTGGACTGTACTGTTCTTGAGAGTAGTGCCATTTTATTTTGATTATCTGTTTCTTTTAAAAAATATTTATATATTTATTTTTGCATTACAATTCTAAATACACCATTATATCATAATTTATTGTATCTCTGATTATATATAAGGTATGTTGACACCAAATTCACATCTTCATACATGTATTTTGTATAGTGATGAGGGTGATTATCTGTTTCTAATGGTCCCTTGGAAGACAGTTTGAGAAGATGACTCCTGAGTTTCAAGCATGGAAGCCAGGGGTTCCAGTACAGGGAGAGGACTCTGTAAGCTACCAAACTCTTCTGTGGAAATAAAGTACTGAACCTCCATGCCTGAGTACCGCCCATGAAACTTTGAGGTATGCTGGCTGCCTGACCAATGGCCCTTCTGGCTCTCATCCCTCACTTTTGCATTCCCTGAAGTCATCATGCTCACTCCAGGTACACACTATTTTCCAATGAAAGCTCAGAGCTCCAAATGAATTCAAAATCCTCTTTCCTAGCAAGAGGTCAGGTGAAAATCATCAAAAAGTCTTTAGTACATAAAAAGGGAAAGGGGTAGGGGAGAAGGGCAGGTATGTAGTGCAAGAACAGCTGGGCCCAGTGTTCAAGTTGCTGATCGTCCTGTGGGTAGCCTCCCATGAGGCTTACAAACCCTGTCCCTTGCACTCTTCTGCACACAGCTTTAGATGTTCCTTGGTTTCTTTCACACCTGGGAATCTCCATGCAGCTGGGCAGTCTCATCTTGCTACAGCATAGCTCCCTTTGTTTCCAGAGTTCAAAATCTGTAGTCTTGAGTGAGACCTGGTCCTTTTATGGTAGATTCATCCCTTATAGACTTACAAAATAGTGCCTTTTCTTTAAGTGGAAAACGAGCCACTTGGTAAGAAATATATCCATACAGAGTGGCCAGGTCATTAGACTGAAATTTGCTAAAGTGATGATGGTTTGGGCATCAGTTGCTTGTGGCTATGTTGAAGCATTTAAATGGAAGAATTGTTGTCTTTTAAAAATAACTTTAGTAAACAAAAGAGTTCAAGAAGGGAGTGGATTAGATTACCCCAGAATGGATTTGACTTATGGGAAATCTACCTTTAATTTGGGCATATCACTAGGGTAGAACAAAAATGAGTTACTGTTCAAAGTTTGTGAAGGAAAGAAATATAGCAGCAGCTGGAGATGAAATGGATGGAAAAACTGAAGGACTTTTTTTCAAACAGTTTTGAAAGTGATTGGCAGGTTTTTTTTTTTTGCTAGGGATTAAACTCAGGGGCTATCCTCCCGGCCCCATGTATATGTATTAAGATAGAATTGACAAGAACCAGAAAAAGGAGGAAAGATGATAGAGAGGTAAAAAGAGTAGCATTCCACAAGAAGCGAAATTCAGAGCCAAGGGAGAGGAAAAGATACAAGAGGGTGCAGGTTAATTTGTGGATGGAGTGCAGGTTATTGAGGAAACATCAGCTTTCTAACTTTCATTTACTCTGTAAAGAGGTGAGTTTTCTACTAAGCAAGATGAGCGGAGGAGATCTGGAATGGCTCAGTACTGAAATAGTCAGTATGGTATATGGGGACAGGAGCAGACAAGAGGTACACAGGACAATGTAATACAACGAGCGAATGAATGAATGAGCAATGGAATGAAGACTTTATTTTTTTTATTTCTAAAACACATATGTGCTGGTGATAAGGATATCAATGGGAATTAACCACGGAATACTTGAGAGATTGAAGCCAGACATAATTATTTTCATCATATTTTATACAAAATAGACATTTACATATATTTTACTTTGGAAAAACCTAGGCAAAGTATACATATCAGAGTTAGTAGGAGAAATACTTTATGGGAGATATATTTCTAACTGGTACAGCAAAAGCAACTAAAAGGTACATTTATATACAAATGATCAAAATAGGAACTAAAAAGCATATGAGCAAAGAACATGATGTAATTCATTTCCTCCTGACCAAAGGAGGGATCCATATGAGTCACCGCAAATCCAATGATTTCCATATTATCAAACCAAGTCATGTCTTCTAAACATATTCCACTTCCTTAGGAGAAAGTTTTATCTCTTTCCCCCTGAAAGTAAAAAGCAAAATCACTATAAGAATTTTTAAGTGCAGACTGCAAAAGAAGAGTAATTACCTCTGTCATGTTAAAGCACTTAGGAAATTTAGTCACTTTTTGGGTTTTTTGTGTTGTGATGCAGTGATCATCATTATCTTAAGATTCATTTAAAAAAAGCAACATCCATTGGTCTTCTAGTCAGGTGCATAGTGCTTTTCAAATCAATTCAAGAGTACCATTCAGAGGCTCATAGAGCTTACCGGAATCATGAGACTGACCAGTCCTCCATGGGTGATAATTTGACTAGGACAGTGGCTAACATGCCCTAGGTGAGGTGGTTCCTTGGTGGCAAAGCTATGACTAGAATTCAGATGTCTTGAAGTTTGGACTAGTGCAAACCTCCTACAGATCAGCAAGATAAGAAATCCCTAAAGGACATTGCACACATTGGAAATACCAGACATGATACAAATATACACCATGTGCACCACTGACAATGTGAAGAAAACCCTGGATTTCTGGATATAGACATCACCAGGGGCAACTGGTGGTCTAAACTTACAAACTGATAATGAGCATGTATTGTATGGGTGCTGATTTTATGAGGTGCATGTCCAGTTTTTTCCCCCAGAAGTTTTAGTTGAAAGGATGCTTGGTGATAAAAATGGAACATTTTAATATGAACCATTCGATTCCTATAAATATCTTAACAATTCTGTTTTGCTGCTTTGATTGGTATTAAACCATGCTTTTGACTGTAGTTATTTTATCTCTTTAGAGAAAAGAGCTCATAAAAACAAAAATACTAGATGGCAGGGTGGTGCACACCTGTAATCCCAGCTACTCAGAAAGCTAAGGTAAGTTTGAGGCCAGCCTAGGTAACTTAGCAAGATCCTGTTTCAAAATTTAAACAAACAAACAAAAACAAAAAAACAAAAAGGACTGGGGATGTGGCTTAGTGGTAAAACACTTGCCTTCCATGCACATGGTCCTGGGTTCAATCCTCAGCCTCAGTACTGAAAATAAAATGCTAAAAGATGCCATTTAGAAAAGTTTTTCTGTATTTGGGAGATACCATCATATAATCAAATAAAAATAATTTGGAGATCAGGAAATAAAATACACCACAAACAAAACAAACTACTTCTAGCTGTATTTGCTTTGAATGCCATTACTAACATCCTATAAACTTAATTATTCTAAGGTTGAATCCACCATGAAGTCAAAGTAAAAGTTTTTATGTATTTTTTTTAAAATTGATTCTAATAAATACATTGAGAATTGATTAACAAAGGTTTTCATGTATGGGCCAGACAGAGTCATGTAGGCCCAAACTCTAAGACACTCTATACCACCTATGAGTTATATAATATCACTTTTATATACTGAGCATCTTATCTGGTGCTTTCAAATGGCAAGGCAACTCATCTCCATCTGAGAACACAAATTCTGTAAGCATAAGGCCAAATTACAGTCCAGTTTCCACAAGTGCAAAACCATCCCACCCTGACACTTGTTTGTTAATCTTGGAATGAGATGTCCTTAACCAACCAATTGTGCCATAAATTATTCTTTAGAATTCTTTGCTTTGTTTTAGTCTAGTAGTTAAAAAGTAAAAATTCGAAAGATTATATCTGTTTGAAAAAAAATCATAAACTCCCATTAAAGTTGTCAGGCCTGCAGTGTCTGTAGCCTCAGTGCTGTTGGAATCACCACCCTTCAGCCAGATAATAAAGATTTTGAAAGGTTTTCAGTTGTTGACTAAGGGAAACCAGTGCTGAGAGCCACTGAGTGTGAGGGGACACATCTCACAATGAGCGGAGTGCAGCTCTGCAACTGAGGCATCTGAAACGTCTAATGGAGACCTTAAGAAACCACACACTTGCTTTTTAGTCCCTCTCAAATTATAGTTCCTGCGGGTCAGCTTGTATGGGATGGTTTGTATTTTCTCATTTGGTCTGGCTGACAATTAGCTGCACAAATACTGCAAAATTTGCATCAGATGAGATACCCACCTATAGTAAATTTCACAAGCTTATTCTAAGGGTTGTGAAGTATTATAGGGAGTTGGAATTTACATGGCGCTAATCCTCCTCATTTTGTAATAGGCTTCAAAATAAATAAACCCAAAAGACCATATCTCAGGATTCCCTAAAAATTTGATTTCTTCCAAGGTATCTGCATCTTTGGTTTTAAGCACCTATGTTACATGACTACATCATATTTTTATGAATGCTATTAATAAATAAAAAAATGCTTGAATCATTTTCAAAATCTTGAATAATTCATAAGGCTAAAATAAGCTACTTAAGCGATTCTCACCTCATTCTTCTCTGTCAAAGGGCATGTTAAAGAATTGCCATTTGTGTGGATTTTGAAGATGAGAAGAACTGGTTCTAGGGAGAACTGAAGAACAGGTCAGAAAGACTCAGCCTAGAGGAGGGAATGTGCATGGAGAATTCTTAATGTAGCCGAGAAAAGAATAACAAATAGTGCTCAGAGTAACAAAGTCACAAAGGAAACTGAATATTAGATCAAGTGTCCAGCCAGGCCAAAGCAACTCCTGTCTTGTCCTTCCTTCCTGCCCAGGACTTGCTGCCTAATTCTGGGACCAGTGCAAAATGAAATCAAGGGGTCTACTGTTTAAAAGTAATTAAGAACTTTAAGCAGAGAATTCAACCAAGAGAGGATGCTTCTTAGTGTCGGACCCTTGAGACAACATGGACGGCACACTCACTAAGCCAGCTCTGCTCCCCCACTTCAGAAAGGGCTCTCAATTCACAGGCCAAGCATGCCTTCATTAAGGGCAAACCAGAGCCATCTCCTTGACTAGCCAGGGCTCTCCACTGTTATTCTGATAAGGATGAATTCCACTTATTATTTCACGTTATAGGGACCAAATGAAATGTTGCAAGATACACTTAACATCTTTGAAAAATAATGTGATTTAATTTCTTATAGGCACCATTTCAACTGAGAAAACTATTTCACTGGCTACATTTCAGTGAAGGATAAAAATATATGACTGAATAAACAATGCTTACTTTCCCTCCCTACCCCTTTGAACAGTGCTAGGTTTTAATGTCCAAGGAGAGGCAGGTGTGTGCAGACAGATGAATCAGAGAATAAGAGAAAGAGGGACTGGGGGACAGAGAACATGAAAAGCAGCAGAGAAAATCTCCTGAAGGCCATGTGACCCTTTTCCCTCAGAAATTTTCAGACTTTAATTGCCTTTAAATTACCCCAACAAATGTGTACTCATACCTTTAGTGGGCCTTTAAATAAGGCACGATTACTTCAAAATTTGGGGTACAATCTTTTCCATTAACTTTCTAAGCATGAGTTTTGGTTACACACTATCCTGAAAAGTTGTGGTAAAGTCCTAGATACTAGAGACTTCCTGTTTTCAATTTGGGGATGAGAAGTTATGTTGCAATAAATTTAGTCATATGCTTTTTGGCCTAAGGACTACAGAAATATTATATTGGGGTAGGGGGGAGAAAAACCTTTTTAAGATATTTTTAAAGATAAATTTATGCCGTGTAACACTAAAAGACCATTAGAAACAGAAGGTTATAATGGTAATTTATACATTATCAGATTACTGATATGCACAAAAAGATACATGCTAATTTAAAATCTGTCATCATTTGCATTTATAACATCCTCCCCTTCATCCCCAAAGAAGTTTACTTCCACTTATTTAGACTTACCTTGACAAAAGAATAACATATGGGGGCAGTACTTCCTGATCTTGGGTGGTAAGTAGAAGGCTTTTTTACTGGCCTGAGAAGGTGAAATATATGCACCTCCAGGCTGCGATGTCTGTGTGGTACCTGGCTCAGCACATGACCAGTACGGCCTGGAGTGTTTTTGTTTTTAATGATGATGATCAAGTTAGAACCAGGTGTTCCAATTTCTTCATTTCCAAAATATATTACCACCCAAACATTGAAGGCTGAGCCCCAATTCTGTTAACTTGAGTAGGTGGATAATCAATACAATTTTTTTTTTTTTGAGGGAAATTGTTTAACTATTTTGTAATTCAGATGCATATTTTTGTATGGTCAGTTCTGAAAGATGCTATTAAAACTTATGTACAGAGAAAAAAGTATATATGCATATATATTAAATATAAATTATAAGTTATGAAATAAATAACACTAGAAATAAATGTCAAATTGTAAGTTCACCTTTGCCTTCCTTTTAAATATAAATATATATTTTTTAAATTTTAAGTTTAAACTTTTCCCCTAGATTTTTCGAGTATTCTCCATGAAATCTTCAAAATTACAAGTATAAGACAAAGTTTGGGTTTCAGTCATTCATGTTTTAAGCACAGAATTCTCAATGAAGACTAGGAAGACAAATAAATAGTTATTTTTCCATCTAGTTAGAGTCTATGAAGATTTCTGATATATATTGCAAATATTTTTCAATGGTTAAATATACTTTCCAAAAAAATAATAAATCTTAAGATGTCTGAACATTATAATAATAAAGTAGGACATTTCTCTCAGTTAATATCTTTAATATTTTCTATGTAGAATATACTATTTTTTTCTCCACCAAAATAACAATATATTTGAAGGTGGGGACGTTTGAGATTTTAAATGCACTTTTGAAATCTTGGAGTAGAAAGAACTACTACTCTAGTAATAAAATTAAAATAATTTTTAAACATTTCCATAAAGAATTAGGGGCATCATTTTCCTTGATTTTCCTGTAGGGATAAAGATACCCATATACAACTCTAGAAGCTTCCCTTTTGATATATTAGGCAATGGAAAAACTTGCCTCAGAGTGGAATTGAATTTACTCCTCAAAATATCTCTGGTAATATCCTTAGGGGGATATTAGATAAAGCTCACTTAACAATAGCCCTTTTCCCCATATATTCTAGAAGGTTCTACAAAAGCTATTACATACTCATTTCAGGGTCTGGAGAATTAACTGAGCTTCCACTTGGTAGACTTTCCCAAATGGCTTACACCAGAGGATTTATCCTCTTTGAAATAGCTCATCCCATGAAGAATGGATGCTCGGCCTTTATAGCATTTCGAGCCTCTGTATTTCTGGGGACATGAATGTCTAAACTATGAAAGTGAATTAGATCTCCAGGTTGCAAAAGCACAGAAATGTATCAAGGGAAATCGGGAGTTAAACCAAACAAAAATCTGTAAAATGTGTAGCTGCTGTTTTCCTTTCCTCTCAGATCATCCTGCCTGGCTTGCTGATTTTGTCTTTTTCCTCATGGAAACGCAAGTCCTTCAGCACAGGGCTACTAGCAGACACCCCAAGGTCTGCCACCCCAAACTCAGAGTCTTGAGAGGAATGCATGACTGGTTGTGCCCCCGCGGATGTGAAAGCAAGGTCCCCATCACTTGTCCTCTTCCAGGGGCACCAGCATTGTCCCATGAGATGGGTTTAACAGTGCTACGTTTGATCCTTTTCTCGAACTTCCTGTAATCGTTTTTCTAGGCGATCCAATTTGGCTAGATTTTCCTTCAGCAGTTTGCTGTCTGGAACCAGCTGTAAAGCTCTCTCATAATACGCTCTTGCAGACACATAGTTTCCCTGTGGGGAAAAAGAAAGAGAACAATTATCCTCGGTTCCATCAGAACACTTTTCCAGAGCATGGGGAGACAGAAAAACTGTCTGCCCAGTTTAACATTTCCTTTTCATAAGGAAATCTTGTCAGCATGTGCCATTTTATTGTTATCTATTGGTGCTTTTGGAGAATCCATTTGTTTTGAGTACCAGACCAGCTGGAGAATGTGAAGGATAAGCATTATATCATAAGGTTAAATGGAAGAAAAAAACTGATTTTCAGTTCTATTAGTGTAGGGCATGAGGCTATCATTTCATAGTGATCCCAAGGAGTTAGCCCTGTTCCTTTTTTTTTTTTTTTTAAACTGGTTCTTTTTAGTTATACATGGCAGTAGAATTCACTTCAGTATAATTATGAAAGCATGGAATATATTTATGGAACCAACTAGGTGCCCTGTTCCTTTATAAAATAAAATGGAGCCATGGTTAGGAAAAAGAGAGAGAGAGGAAGAGGGTGGGGTGTTTTGGAAACTGCAAGAATAATGATTAAATGGTTTACTTAATGACTGTATCTTCTTAGTGGTAGAAGTCATTCTAATTTTCAAATTGAAACATAAAAAGTGACTTTTGCCTAACATAGGCTTTACATCATGAAAATACTTGATGAAAATATGGGGTTAAATTTATCTAGTACCCTAGGTGATGGTGATACTTAACCATTATATATTCAGTGTAGGAGGGAAGGTATGTTTCTCTGACCTGCTGAATAAACCTGTCCCCACCCTTCGTTGGCATGCATCTGTTTTGTTTAGTGACTCCCCATTTGGCAACCATATATGCCTGGTCCCAGATGGTCTCTGGCAAATTAATCACAGCCATTAGCCTTTTCTCCAGCCCTTTTCTATTATTCATGTATTGCCTCCCTTGTTTGCTCCACCCTTTCAGATCTGTGTCCTGCAAAATCCCAGAACTAGGAATGTTAGAGTTCTCCCCACTCTAAAAATACATTAATACTGGTGTTTTTACATGCTATACCTTATTCTCATTTACAACGTCCATGTGGATGAACAGCTAAGCTCAGCAATCTAAATTTCCATCACAATTTAAAATTGTATCTCTTGGAATAAAAGTAGTAGGTAGCAACTAGCAACTAATACTTATTGAAAGCTAATCATCTTCCAAATAAGTTGCTGTGTGTCAAAAGTTTAGCAACTGCCTGATGTAGTGAACTCTCAATGTGATACCATCAATACTGTTATTAAATCTTGCCTGTTTCTCATAGTATTCACTTGTATATTCATGAAAGGTAGTGGAAATGACAGAACAAGAAATTGTACATGGAATCCAAGCTCTGGTATGTGCAATAAATGAAAGTGTTTCTGATTATTAACACTCACTCTGAAAAGAGGCTAAACAGATTGCTGACAAGTGGAATCTTAGATTTGCTACATTCAATTATTATTTTTTCAACTCAAGAATCTATCTTGTAAGGCTTTGATTTTTATCAAGCTTGGCACACATGTGCTGACAACCACACATTTGTGGCTATTAAAGTGTTCTCCAAATATGTTTTTATTGCAGTTGAGCTTGAAATTGTTCTTTCAGGAAGTTGCACTGAACTTAGGTCTTATACCAGTGCCTTGGCATCTTCTCTGATCAGCAGGTTTCTCTGTCCTTTCGAAAGAAACCTAGTTCATTTTCTCTCTCTCAAATTGCTGTATTCTTGATTAAACTGGAAACCATATATTTTTTTAAAAAATTATATCCTTAATTCAGTATTTCCAATTCCATGCTAAGTAGGGAGTTCGAAATGTCCAATTTCTAGAAAAGTGCTAATATGATAGCCACTAATTACCTGCGGTTATTTGGATTTAATGACAATAAATTAAGAATTCAATTCCTCAGTTGCATCAGCCACATTTCACCTGCTCAATAGCCCCATGTGGCTGGTCACTACTTCCTTGGACAATGCAGATACAGAACATGTCAATCATCACAGAAAGATCTACTGGACAACATGCCATTCTAGAAACTGCAGATTACTGATCTGTGGCAGAACTGAATATAGTACTTAGTAATATGATCTGGCCCAGGGACCTCTTTGTTTATAAGAAAATGTAGTACAGTTTTTTTTTTTTTTGGTCTACGTATTTCATCTTATATAAAACTTCATAGAAAGTATTATAGGTTAAGCATCCCTAATGAGAAAATGCAAAGTGCTCCAAGCTCTGAATCTTTTTGAGCATTAACCTGATATCTCAAGTAGAGAATTCCACACCTAACTTCATGTGATAGGTCACCTGTCAAACTGTAGGCACATTGTAAATCTCGTATAAAACTACCTTCAGGAAATGTGTATAAAAGACTTACATGAAACACAAAGAAATTTTGTATTGGGTCCCATTCCCAATATATCTCATTATGTATATGCAAAAATTCTACCACTCTCAAAAAAATCAGAGACAATTCTGTCCCAAGTGTTTACCATAAGTAATATTTAAATTGTGTCTTTTATTACTAAGTAGTATGAGCAGGAGACAACCATGAAACTCACGGCCTTATCCCCTTCTCTTGAGTCACCTCAGAAAGCCTTATTCAAACTCTCCACCTTCTCACTGGCCTTAGGCCTGCCCAAGTTCCCCCCAGGCACAGAGAAGGAGTTAGGCCCAGGAATGGGATGACACTGCCCATTGCACACACCATTCAGCAATGCAAAAGACGCAGAATGTTCAGGACTGTTCTTCTAGGCTTCATGATAATCGTGAAGGCTAAGCACATCTATATGACCACATCCAAGCTATACGACTGCTCTCTATATAGATGTTAGATTGTATATATGAACTCACTTATGGACCATTTTAAAACTATAAATGTGATGGCTCAACTTCACACAAGATGTCTGCAGTAACAACAAAACAGAGGCTAATTTTTAATCACTGTTGGTTACATTTTAAAACAACATACTCAATAGATCCTTCCCCAATATATATGTAGATTCATTATATATATGTATATATATTCATTTTATATACATGTGTATGTGTGTGTGTGTGTATTCATTATATATTTTGCAAAGGATCTATTGAGTATGTTGAATTATTTACAGGGGAAGTGTCTCTAAATTTAAAGCACTGGGCTCAACTGGACAATAATACACTGTTTTATCTGCATTTCTAGACTTCTTGGATACTCTTAAGTATATCTGTCATACTTGTTCCAATTAACAATTGAACCCATAGCTTTAACTGCCACCATATTCCATCTGAACAAATACTAGCACATTGTTTTGAAATAAAACTACTTATTATACAATTTAAAATATTTAAACTTATGATTTTACTACTTTCAAGTAAGCTCATTCTATTTCCCAACTGGATATTGCTAGACACTCTCGAATATTATTAAGATCAGAACTTGAGTTCCTTGACTAGGATAAAGGTCATGTTTAGATTCACCATCTCTTAAGTCAAGGCTGTCAGTCGCAGGCTAACTGTCCTCCTCACCTATGTAGTCAGGAGCTTTTGACTTGTTTGTTCATTGATGTGTTCCCAATTCATAAGGGTACCTGGCACATAGGATGCTCTCCACAGATGCTTGTAAGAAGAATGAATGAATGAATGAATGAATGAATGAATGATGGCAGTGAATCTTTGATTTCATTAGTTATAAACAATAGTCCCCCTAAAGGTTATTTAAATCCTTGGCAAATTTACCCAAAGTTAGCTTTCCTTTAGAGAAGTGAAACAAAACATATAAACGTGTTTTTCAGTAAAAGCTTAAGCAGCAAACAATGCCTTAGATATAAGACACAGGAAAGTAGTATTTAAAGTCTTTAATAGTATTTAAAGTCTTGAACTTTAATGTTAATGCAGAGTTAATAAAAAAATTTAAGCCACACTAGGCCTCAATGGGGATTCAGTTCACAGAGACGATTCTAACTACTGTCTAATGACACTTATACATATATATGGTTTTCTATGATTAGCAAAATGAAATCTAACTTACACATTATATATATATGTTAAAAATTCATGATATTTAGTATTTATAAGATATGAAGTGAAAGTGAATTTCACTTTTAAACACCTATGTTTTTGGTCTTCAAATGATTTCTAAGAGGAAATTAACGGTTTCTGCATCCCTTAGAGAGAAGAGACTGAATGCTGAAACAGAAATGGAAAGCCCGGACCCATGAAGTGAATTATTCTCCTACCTTGATGTGCTGAATTCCACCCATGTTCATCCAGGCCTGTGCTTGATCTGGATTTAGTGCCACGGCTGCCTTATAGCTCTAAATAAATAAGAAATATCAGGTTAGGAAATGAGATCCCACCTTCAACACTACAGGATTGAAAGTGAAAATTTAAATGGTTAATAGAATGAATCTAGTCACCACTCCTGGTTCAGGAGAGTCCCCATTCATTTATGCTATTTTTCAAAATTGATGATTATAAAGTGAAGGAAACTGAAATGTGTAATTTCCCAGCAGAGCTAATATGTGCTCTTAAAGAGACTGAGGATGAGTACAGGGAATCCGGATGATTTCTATAATAGCACACCACTTCCCACTGGCCTTGACCTGCAAGAAAACTGTACTCTTGGCTTCATTAATGATAATGCAGTTGGAAAGAAAAAGCTTTTTAAAAAATCATAGAATCTGATCTGGGGGCTGGGAATGTGGCTCCATGGTAGACCATTTGCTTAGCATGCATGTAGCTATGGTTCAACACCTAGCACTCAAAAATAAATAAATAAATAAATAAATAAATAAAAAATAAATGTCAGCAAATCTTAGAAGAGTTTCCTAAACAGCTTAATTCCAGTGTAGCACTCCCTTCTATAACATCACTGACCTCCCTATCCAGCCTGTGCTTAAATTCTTAAAACAGATGTTATTGCATCTATTTTACTAGTAGATAGTTTTAAAAAGCAATTTTGTTTTTATTCTACCATATGAACAGTCTTCAAATGTTCCAAAAGAATTATCTCTTAAGCATGTTCTTTTGTCTGAATATTATACATTCTGTAAAATGCAGTACCAGTGAGGTCTATTTTTACATTATATGAATTGTTTTACATCAGAAGTATGCTCACCATGAAATCCTAACTTTTGAAGTACTCACCTTAAATAAGGCAGAGACTTTACAAACCTAAGGATCTCTGTGTATTTTAAAGCTGTTTGGTATTTTTATTAGAGAGAAACAAGTCCATTAAATAAAATATAGTCAATTTTTCTCTACATCAGTTTTAGGAGAAATAAGTAAATGATGAGAAATTATATTTTTAAAAAGCCACTAAAATAAACCTAAAGGCATGTCTCTTGGGTTAATTTGTATCAGCAGAAATGGGAGTGTAGTATAGAAGTTAAGAGCTAGATTCAAACCATGGCTCCATCTCTTATACCAGTGTGACCTTAATCAAGTTATATGACCTATAAGTCTCAGTTTACAAAAGTATAAAGTGGTGACAATTGCTCTGTTTTTCTTATACAATGTGACAGTTGTGACTTCATACAAGTGAATCATACTCAGATACCCTAATTAACTACTGTTGGTTTTGAACCTACTGCCACACTTCTTTGAATCTAACCACTCCAGATAATGACTACCTGAGCCACTGGAAAAACAACTATGAAATTACCTTTGCTTTCAGTACTATGTAATTAAGATACAGATAAATAGTTTAAATACTCATAAATTACTGTACAATATAAATATCTGTAGTCAAATTACCAATAACAATATTATCACATTAATTACAAATAAATTAGGAAGGAAGGTACTAGAAGCATTCAAAAGGCAAAGAAAACCCACAATTTCTGAGAAAAATGCTTGCAATGTTTCAGAGAAAAATGCCACCATTTCTATCTTAAGGGTTCGCATTCACATTAGTTCACATATCTTTACATGTTTTCAATAATATTTAAAAAAATAAACACTCATGTGTTTATTTTTCAACACCATTACATCATTTGAGATTTTCTCCACAATATACCTGGGTATAAGTTTTGCAACCTTATTAATCTAACTGGTGGCTGGACACAAGGAAAAAAAAGTATGGTATTTCAGTAAATAACATCAGTAAAACTTCTACTGATGTTCATTTGTGTCTTCTGCAGAATCTTCATTAGATACTACAGGAGTATTCATTTTAATCTGTAAATTTAATACCATATCTTTAGGTGTTTTTACCTCAAAAGCTTTGTCAAGAAGGTTCTGCTCTCTTAGTTGGTTTCCTTTTGTGAAAAAAAGTTCAGATACAACTTTTGGGTCCTTTGGTTTCAGTTGGAGAGCCTTGTCTATAGCATCGAGTGCCTACACAGATGGGAAATAAAGGGCAGAATTGGATAAAGGAAATCTTACTTGAATGATAAAATGCATAAAACTCTTTGTTCAGGTGTGTTGGCTCATGGGTGTACAACAATCAAAATACATTCTCCATTCTCCCTGATCTTCTCATTGAGGTTTAATGACCGTAACAAAAATAACATCTTTATTCCTCAGGTTTCCCATTTATAAACCAGTGACAACTGGTTTACAGGGAAGTTGTGCAATACAGCTGAAAGGAAGCAAGATCTGGGGTCAGATGTTTGCTCCGACCACATGTCTGTCTGGACCTTTCAACAGCCTCCTCTCTGGTCCTCTCAGCCCCAGCACCACAGCTCCTCTGCAGCAGATACCCTTTAACACACACATCTGATCAAACTGCTTTTCTCCTCAAATCCCCAAAGCTTCCCCAGGATGAGAAATGAAGCCATGAGCCCTGCCCCAGGGGTCTAGTTCCAGCAACCTATTTGTATCTCATGCTGCGCCCCTGCTCTCTCAGGCCCATTTCTCAGCCAGGCTCCTTGTTGCTGTGCATGTGCTGTTCCCACCACAATTCCCCCCGCCCCCCCCCCCATCTCATTTTGCTTAATAACTGCTACTTATCAGCCAACCCTAACCTACTTACCCCCTAGACAAGTGTATATAGTAAGGAGACCCTATGATATGTTCTTTGGGACACCCTATCTCTTTATGATATCACTGAGCTGAGTTATAACCAGGTTTGTTTTGTGTACTTGTTTAATTTCTGTCTTCTACTGTTAGTTCCATGAGGATAAGGCAGTGATCTTTTGTTTTTCTTCATACCATTTTTTGGTTGAGCCTACCACAGTGTGTGGCACATAGTGAGCACTCAACAAATATTTTATTGAGTCAGCTCAAGAATTTCCTTTTAAAATGAAAATAAACAGGAGCATTTGCAACACTGCCCTGCCTTCTAGGGTCATTAAGAAGATTGCATAAAACTGTATTAGAAGAAGCATGGAAAATGACAAAGTATACAAATGTTAGGCTTTCAGAACTAGCTAAAAGCAGAGATAAGAGCACACAATATATTTAGAATAAGGAGGACCCAAGAATATAGTATTTCAAAGGGACATCTTAGGAGTTAAAGGATATCCGTGAAAAGCTTGCATGAGCTAGGACAGGCCCGCTGGTGATGTTCAAGACTTCTTGGCTTTATAAATGTGTAAACTGGAGAATCATTCAGGTGAACACACTTTCTACTCGAGTCCAACCAACTCTCAGCAGTGACCTTCTCTACCTTGTCATGGTGCTCCTGCTTGCTATAGATCGCTGACAAGAGGCGGTAACATTCGAGGCATCCAGTCTCCTCTGACACAATGTGACTGGTCATCTTCTCAGCTTCTTTCATCTGACCCATTACAGCCAAAACCTGAGCCTGCAAACCCACATGAACCTTGGCTTAGAAGATAGTTGGTTAACCCCAAATGGAAGCATTCAGAAAACAATCTTGACAGAAATGCTCAGCATCTATTTAGTGACTCACAGAGAAGGCTGAACTACCAGCTTATAGGTTTTAGTTTTTGTGTTTCTTTGTTCCTTTATTTATTTCGGTATGTGCATGTATTTGTGTCTGAATCACAAAAATGTCAAAGATACCCAATGAAATGGCAGGTGCCTCTTAGAAAATATTGAGTGAATATGTCTGAAGATGAATAATTTCCTGATTCCAACAATCTGTTTTTAATAATTTGTTTGTAATAACAAGTTTGACATAGTACATCTAAGGAAGAATGAAATTCTGAATAAAAATATTGATATTCATGTTATTTTTCCTGAGTTTGGTGGCTATACTACAGTTACGTTGGAAAAGGTCCTTGTTCTTAGGAACTTTATGCAAAAGTACCTAGAAATAAAGGGGTTTGATATCTATCACTAACCAACATGGGTCAGAAAAATTATACCATGTACTAATAATACTACAATAACATTCATAAACATCTAAATATACATAGGTTCACACCTATGTATATACACACATTCATACTTAACTGTTAAAAATGGATTGAGCTGGGTGAATAGGCCCATGGGAATTTTTAAGCTATTTTTATAACTTGTTTATTTTATGATGGCTCTGATGGAACCCAGGGCATTATACATGCTAGACAACTCACTGCTACCAAGCTATATCTGCATCCTTACAACTATTTTGTAAGTCTAAGGGTATTTTGAAGCAAAAACACCAAATATTTTTGGTGCCCCTGTCTTTTGTGAGTGGTAGTGACCCTGATTCTATGAAGACTCATGCAGTGGGCTCCAGTTCTGTGGCCTGGTGACTACAGCATGCCCTGATGCACACTGTGCTTGGGTTCCCAGCTTCATGTGCCCTCCTCTTCCTGCTCACCAGTGCCAGGCGGAGCTCCCTCTGTGAAGGCTGAAGTGCTGCAGCTTCCCGGTAAATCTGCAAAGCCTCTTCATAGCGGCCAGTGTTGTAATACAGTGCTCCCAGAGGCGACAGTATCTCAGCTTTGCGTGCCACCTGCAGGGCACTGAGTTTGGAGAAAGGCAAATAGACACTTTCCTTCTAACAGGCACATTTCTGAAGGCCTAAACTTAGATTTAGGGAGGACTGTCCAAGGTTTGAGATGATTAAGATTAAAAAAAAAGGATAATAATGACACTCTCTGAATATAAAGATGTATCTGGTGACCTGCCAACATGGCAACCGAGTCCCAAAGGTCTTTTCCCTTGCTGTTGACAGATAGGTCTGTTCTTATTCTGATGTTTATGTAGTCTTTCTTCTATTCCCATCATGAAATTGATATGTGTGATTTAGGTTGCACTCTAGGGATTAACTGTAGTGGAAATTAAATTCAAACCCTGGCTAAGTGTCATGACCTAACCAGTAAGAAGAAAAGTCTCTAAGGATACCATTTTTTTTATTGCTGAACTATTCTCTTTGGAAATAAGAATCTGTATCACCTGAACTGGCAAAATCTGCCAGTCTTCTAAAAGCCTGTTTGTTCCAATGAATTACAAAGTTGGTGGCAACTGCTGAGGTCTCTGGCAACGTGAAAGCAAGGAAAAGGAACTGTACCGTTTGTACCATTCTTCGGCCATGCTGTTCTCCCCCAGTGACCGGTAGAGTCTGCCCAGGTTCACCATGGCCACGTGATGACTTGGGCTGAGTCTAATGGCCTGTTGGTAATGGGCCACTGCTTTCTCTGGAGAGCCTGCAACCAATGACGGTTTGGTAAGAGCAGAACATGTCTCAATTGTGAGATACAGGAGTTCAGCTTCTTTTTCGACTAATTCTTCCTCAGTATTACAGTCAGACCAACAATGATCCAATCTGTATTTTAGCTTACCTTTTGGCTTCTCCTTAACTTTGGACCATTTCCCTTTTCATTCACACTTTCAAAAAATTAGTAATAAAAGGTAGCAAAACGAATGTACCTATGTATACTACAGTAGTCAAAGTGTTTACTATATATATATATATATTACATTAGTCAAAGTGTTTCTGGGCACCACCTTTGTTCATATGAGGTTTTGAGATCATCAGTGATTGTTATTTATCCAGTTGTACAAAAATTAGATTTGGCTATTATGGAAAGCAAACTGTCCTGAGGCAATTTCTAAGGGTCTGTCTAAATCACTATACTGAGGACAGTTACTGAGGAGGCACTGTATGTATAAGCTCCATCTTGAAAATCTCTTTTTAATCATACATTTTATTTAAATGGTGTTTGTTTAATGTGACTTTAAACATAATAATAATGCCAATTTGCATTTATTTGAGGCATTATAAAATTTATTATTTATATATTTCAGTATACTTCCAGTTATATGATCTTGCAGGTGTTTTGGATACTGTTTAGCTGCCTTTTGATATAATTTAGCTGTGTCTTGGGATTTAAAAAAAAATATTTAAAACAAAAACAAAAGGACCACTTTACAGATATAAAGATATATTTACAGATATACAGATGTATCTTACAGATATAGGCATTAAAGTGCAAAGACATAAGAGACTTGACAAAGATCCCATGGCAAGAAAGAAAAAAGGCCAGAATGAGAATCAAACATCTCTGGTCTGAGAATGTTCCCCCAAGAAGCTGCCTAGTGAAACCAGCTAAATGAATGAACTTCAGAATACCCTAACGTTCTAAATGGGAAAGGAATCTTTATTATCTGCAAGGAAATTTTCTCACACACACCCTCTTTGAATACAAGTTTGACTAGGATGATCCAAAACATACCATGTCATAGAGAGACCTGTGAATTGTCATTGTCATTTACAGGATATGTAGAGTATGTTATGGTTTGGATTTGAGGTGTCCACCCATATCTCATGTGAAACAAGGCAAGAAAATTGAGGTGAAATGACTGGGTTAGGAGAGCCTTAACCTAATCAGGGCATTAACCTGCTGATATGGATTAACCAGGTGGTAATGGTAGGCAGTTAGGGTAGGGCTGCAGGAAATGGGTCACTGGGGGTGTGTACTCTGGGGTACACGTTTTGTCTGTGGTGAGTGGAGCTCTCCTTTGCTTCCTGGTGCCACGTCCTAAGCTGCTTTCCTCTACCACACTTTTCTGCCACGGTGTTCTGCGTCATCTCAGGCACAGCAATGGAGCCGGCCATCTATGGACTGAGACCTCTGAAACCATGAGCACCCCCAAAACTTTTCCTCCTCTAAAATAAATTGTTCTTGTTGGTTGTTTGGTCACAGTGGAGGAAAAAGCTGACTAAAACTGGATGTGACTCTGTCTTGTTGAAATAAAAAGATGAGGGTTAAATTAGGCCCACAGGAGGTCTCTTTGGATCTTTATATCTTATGACAATTTATCATGTGGCTAATGAACCAGCAGGTGGCACTCTACAACAATTTTACATGCAAAAATAAGGTTAAGTTTCCTAGATACATAAGAATGTAAATTTATATTCTGTAAAACAGAAGAGCTTCACATATCCTGGAAAAATAAAAACCTTTCAAGCATTTCATATTGGGAAAAAATAATTAAGAGTGAATTTTACCGCAGGGCATCCAGTCTAGCAGTCAACAAGAACAAAGTGGTATTTTTGCATTCAATTCAAATATCATTTCATGACTTGTAAGTATTCATTACATGCCAATAGTATATGGGGCTCGGCACAAAACATAAAATAGAATTCCTGCCCGTAACCTTTTGTATTAAGTAAGTATATTTTATTTAGTACCTGTCATAGGAGAATACTGCATCAATTATAGTAATGTACTTTCTGTAAAACATATCAAGGAGGGAACAATGAAACAATTCTGAAGGCTTTTTTAAAAAATCAATTATACAAAAGAATCTACCATCTGCTGGTAACTTGATCCAGAGATGGTACTGTATCACTGTGGAGGAGCATTTCATCATCATAGATTTATAAACTTGTACAAATGATACCCAAAGAAAGCTGAACCTCATTAACTCCTGGAGGATACTTCCTGCCACCTGAGGAGTTTTCCTCAGAGACATGATTATAAGAAGGGGCAGAATTTACTAAGCTGAGCCTGAAGACTGACATGACAGCCTCCAGGTACAATGTGACTGGCAGCACATCGAGCTTCCTGCCAAGACACTGGATTTTATTTCTGAGGGATTGTTTGGGTTACCCCCTTTTGCTTGATAGACAATATTATCTAATCTCCACACAGAAGGTTCTCTTTTAATTTCACTTACCAGAATCAACTAAGAAAACTCCATAGTTGTTGTGTAAATCTGAGCTGTCTGGACAGTTCTTTATTCCTGCCTGGTATATTTCTTCAGCTTCCTTAAATCTTTCCTTTAAAAAAGGGACAAAAAACAAAAACAAAAACAAAACAAAACATGAGAAAGTGCTTTAAACATGATAGCAAACTGAGTATTGTGAGTGGAGAAAGCAGACAAATTTACTGAGCACCTACTGTACGATAAACACTAAGATAAAACATTATGAACTCTGCCTGAATTAAGGTGAATTACTAACTATGCACAAGTACCTACAATACAGATCTGTGCTTAGTTCCTTTAGGGCAAACAAGGTGATGTTTAATACTATGGAACATCTAAGTGGACTGTGGAAAAGGCTTGAAAACTACTGTTTGAAAGAGATGTCCTTCACCTCTGTAATTCTTAGTAAACTATGAATGTGCTTAGAAGTGGGGATCTGGCTGGGAGGCATTTGAATAGACAGCATTATTTTTTTTTAAAGGATCTATATTATAAGGTGTGTATTGGGAAGTTTTTTAAGGGAAGAAGGAAGGGGAGACTGTTGCAGGTTATGGGGAGGGCTTGGCCTCATCCTTTCTTTCCTTCCAATATTTCTATGGTTTACCAAACTACTTGCTACTCCCCTTATTAAACCTGTGCTTTTAAAAAAAAAAATCTCTGAGCTGTTCCCTCCTAGAGTAGTATGTCTACTCAAGAGCATCCCTCCAGCCTGGGTGGAGAACTGGGGCTACTGGCAACACTTCCAATAGACAATTTTCTAATTGCCCTCATGTTCTATTCATCTAAAGATCACCCTAACATGCTTTAATAGTCATGAATTAACTTTTAGGCACATCTTTCACAACCATCAGAGATCACACTTTCTTTTACAATACAGTAGTTAAAATCTAATTAACCTGATGTTCTATGAATTATCCACCAAGAAACAATTTGATTTCCTAGTACAGGTAAAAGGAAATGATGCAGAATAAAGCACAGAACAACTGTTTCCTTAAGATGTTCTCTACATGAACATTTTCCCAAACTACTGTAAGTTACTACTCCTGAGCCCTCAGCCAGGAAAGGGAAGGTGAAGCACAGGTTTCTCAGACGTGGCACCTTAAGTCTATGAATAAAAATGTTAGATATTCATACCAAGTGCTGCAACAGGTCAGGACTCAGATTTGATTTAACCTAGAAAGGTAATAGAAACTTTGTCCTCTATAGAATGACCAATGCCATCTGCTTGAATTCACATATTTAAATACCATTAAGGAAAAGGTGAGATATCTCTTTGACAAAAGTGGGGATTCAGGCTTTTAAAAATATGTTCTTTTTTACTGCCAAACTCAACAAATTACCAAACTCAAAAAAGTTAAAGATGAATGAAAATCTTTTTTTTCAATTTTTTTTTTAGTTATACATGGGCACAATATCTTTATTTTGTTTATTTATTTTTATGTGGTGCTGAGAATTGAACCCAGGGTCTCACACGTGAGAGGCAAATGCTCTACCACTGAGCCACAACCCCAGCCCCCCACCAATGAAAATCTTAAAGTATTTCCATTCAATCTACTGAAAAAGGGAAGAATTAAAAGATATTATCCATGGAGTGGCTGACAACCCAGTGTGTGTGTGTGTATAAAAAGATGATAGGCAGAATGTAAATTACATAAAACTCCAATAAAATTGATATTTAGAAAGTAGCACTGGGTATTCATTCACTTATCCATCCATTCAACATAGGTCAGCTACAATCTCAGTAATTAAGAATTGGGCCCTTGGTACTTGAGTACAATGGAGTAGCATCCTGTCCCTATTATTTACCCCTGTGAGACTTTACTCCCTCTCTCTGCATTAAATGTAAAACAGGAATAACAATAGAACCTCTCTCACAGGGTTGTGAAAATTAAATGGGTCAAAACATGTGAAACACTCAGAACAATGTGTACTACATATTCAGCCCTTTGTTTACATGTAGTTATTATTCTTAGTCTGATCACTAGAAGTTTTACTAGTGCTGGCTGGTTTTTCCACTTACAGGGTTAGGAGATAGATGCCTAAGACACAGAGATGATGACAACATAGTAGTTCTACTCAAAGACCAATGAACTAACAAACACAATGCAATGTGATCAGTTGACTAATGAGATAAGCACAAGATGCTCTTGAGTTTGGGTACCCTAGAGTTGTTACTGCAGCATATCAGACATCACAACCATTTCCAAGAGGCATCTTAGCCAACAATTACAAGTTCCTGTGCAAATAACTCTGTATGAGAAATAATGAACTAACTCAGGTGTATTTTCTTTCAAATTTTTCACAGAAGTCAAGGAACACTTAATATCTTACTTAGCAGCAAACAGAGAAAAATACCTCGGATAATCCAAACTGAAAATCTTGATTTGCCTATTTTACTATTTGATCGGTGTTAGGGTTTGAAACCGCCATCTTTGTTTTTAAAGGATCATATTTTCAATCTTACATGACAATTTTACAGGATGCAGTAACATGATAAAATACACATTTCACAACTAATGATTAAAACTAGAATGGATAAGATTTGCAGCAAACAACAACAAAAAAGTGAGAGCACAGATCAGAAATGGCAAGAACATTAATGGACACAAGTTTACCATAATTTTAAACCAAAGGGTACTCAGAGATTAAAATTCTTAGCTAAAGTCTCATAGTTACCTGGCGACAGAGCATAGAATCTAGGTTCTAAGTGGACATACAAGGAATTGGTGACCCCTGAATAAAAGCAGGATTTCTGAAAATAAACAAGGATGGCTCAAAACTAATTGGTCAAGAGTTACACTTTTGGATATTCATCCATCCACGCATCTGCCATCTCAATAGGTACTTGGTGAGCAGGCTTCATGTGCTACATACAAGTGGAAACACCATAGGGTACCGCACAGACACATCCCTGTCCTCATAGACAAGCAAGAGGGTTTCACAACAAGGAGGCATCACAGCTAAGCTTGTCAGAGTCAGGAAGGAGAAGCACAAGGTGCTGGTGAAGCAGCCAGGAGAGGCACCCAGACCTGGAATTAGAAGGACTGGACACCTGTCATACCTGAGGGTCCTTGTTACCATTCACTTCAGCAGCTATGGAACATAAAGATGTGCCTGAAAAAAAAAATCTGCTTCTATTAGATCTTCAAAACATCTCTACAACCAAACCAGGTTAGTTGGAATGTGTTTTTACTGAAAAGAATAAAATTGATGTCCTCACAGTCTCCCTGGCTCAAGTCAAATACAACAGTAAACAGCAGTTTTCAAGTGTAATTAGTTTTGCCTGATTTAATTTTACTGCCCCCCTTTCTTACTGCCTCAAAAGAGGCAGAGAATACATTTTCATCTAAAACTTCTCTATTGTTTTAGGGTGTATAACTGAGTTTCTAGTAGAAAAATAATTTTCAAAGTCCAAAGGAGTAATGGGATTTAAAAGACCATGTGTGTCAAGAGCAAGTAATCACATCCCTGTGCCCTCGGTGGCCCCCAACAGAGTGTTGAGGCTCTATGAAAAATGTCTTCAATATTTGTCTTTCTTTTCCTTTCACAAGGAACGATTAACTCCACTTAAGAAAAGAACAAAGGGAAAACACCACTACAGGAGAGAAAATACCTTACAGGTGCTTAAAACGAGTTTTCCCTTTCCTGGAAGGACAACATATTCATCTTGAGTAGTGGTATTATTTAATCCTTGAAGCTCAATTTCAAGCCCTCACTTTCATTTACCTCATCTGGCTAGAAGTCCTGAATCATGCCTGATGGTTCCTGATTTCTACAGACTTGAAAGTTCCAAAGGAAAGGAAAATAAGCTATTCACAGGACAACTTTAATTAAAAATATAAGTGATTCAGAGAATGTTCCTGACAGGTAACAGTGGGTACTGTACACCTGGGCCCCAACCAAACACAGCATGAAGTCAGCCTTCCAGAGCACAAACCTGATCAACATCCCCTCTTTATACATGCTATAATTACCTAAGATGGCATGTGTTTTACCATGAGGAAGGGAAAGTGAGTAGGAAGCAGAGGTTCTGAAAAAGAACTCCTAACTGTAATTAACTCTTTTGGGCCAAGTGATATATCTGTAACATCTTCTTTATAGTTCAGATTGCAGCAACCAGCAGATAGACATTGGCTTATGGCTTAATGTAGCAACTCTCAAGCTTCTTGATTTTAAGACCCTTTGCAGCTCTAAAAATTACTAGGAGACCAAAGAGCTTTTGTTTATGTGGACTATGTATATCAATATTAATCATATTAAAAAAGAAGCTGAGAATTAAAAAAATATATATTTATTAGCTTATTTAAAATAATAACAAACAGCATTTACATGAAGTTTTTTATATTTACTATTTATAATTTTACTATTTATAATAATAAAGATTACTAATATTTATTAATTTATATTTTCACAAATCTCCTTAATGTTTGACTTAGTAGAAGAGACCTTATTCTCCTCTCTGATTTTGTGTCAATCAATGACTTTTATATGGCTTTTGTTGTTGAGGATGGTGAACTATGTGAGGAAAACCTGGCTTCACATAGGTATTTATATGGTTAGTAAAGGGAACAGTATTTAAATAGCTTTTCCATTCTTGCAGATATGTCATGTAGCAACAAAAATACTAGAGTACTCATGAGGGACGGTGAGTGAAATAGCCATCAGGAAAACTGCACAGACCTTCTTAGATCCCTTCTTGGAGCAGCTGGCTTAATGGATGGCCCAGAGCAATATGCACTTACTGTTTGCAAGGTGAGGAGTCAGGCATCCCAGAGTGGTAAAGGACCAATAGAAAAAAAAAGAAGTTTCCCTAGGGCCCCAACATCATGGCTAGACTGCTTTCTAGAAGTACTTCTGGTCTAACCCATGATGTAAAGTCACAGAGCCAGGAAGCCCCTTCCCATTTAGCCAAATGAGGACTTATAATTATGAACCTGAGAAGCTAAGGACCAATGGATCTTTAAACTCATGTAAATGGCTTTGCCAAAAACTATTCAAGAAACAGGGATTCCAAAGATAAAGCAGAGACAAATGCTTTCTCACTCTCTTGTTTTTATTTTCTTTACAAAATTG